ACTACAGCGGTCAAGGCACCCCTACACACAAAGTAAGAAGATAATTTGAGAGAGAGAGAGAGAGAGAGAGCTACACACGAGAGATATGGCTCAGTGGTAGAGCACTTGCCCAGAATGCATGAGAGGCTCTGGGTCTGATACCCAACACTGCTCATAAAAAAGAAGAAAAAAAAAAGAGTTGATTGGACTGGAGATGTAGCTCTCCATTGGTAGAGTGCTTGCAGAAAGCCCTGGGTTTGATTCCCAGCGCCGCATAAACCACAGCACAGTGGCCTGGGTCTGTAATACCTGCACTCAGGATTTGAGGCCAGCCTGGGCTATGCAAAGTCCTGTCCAGAAAGAGAAAGCTCCACCACCCAGTGTAAACACACAGTGTTGGATCAGATCCGGCCTTAGCCTGTCCAGGGCGTGGGCAGAACAGAAAAGGCCTTTCCACTCACAACACCGCGGCAACTAGTATTCCTGAAGACCAGCTGAGAGGACACTAAGTCCTTTTGTTACTGAGGCACACCTCAAGGGTCAATGACTTGCCCAGGTCACATGGCTCGTAAAGACAGAAGAGTCATGCTGTAAACCAGCTCAGACTAGCTGCAGAGCCAAGGCTTCCCTTGCAACCAGCTAGCTGCTCACTGCCCCTGCCCACTTCCGGAGCTCTCCTCCAATCTCAAGTGGAGTTAATGACCATTAAGATAAAGTTTGATAAAGCACACTTAACATGGGCTTTCTCAGTGACCTCGCCCCTTCTGGCAGTCCAGACCCAAGCACAGGCAGGCTCCAATCCTGGGAGTCAGAACTAGCCTGCACTCTGGTGCAGCTTCTCCATTGTTTGTAAGCCTGTTTCTCCAACTGTAGTGTGGGAGAGATAGTCTCTAAAAGGTCCTTTTGCATATCTTATTCTGCCCCTAGAAGGGGGACAGTGGTCCCCCATTCAGGATCATGCATGAAGTATAAAGGTGGTCCAGGGGCTGTAGGGATAGCGCAGCAGTTAAGAGCCCTGACTGCTCTTCAAGAGGACCCAGGTTCAATTTCCAGCACCCACATGGCAGCTCGAACTCAACTGTCTGGAACTCCAGTTCCAGAGGATCCAACACCCTCACACAGACACACTACAAGCAAAACATCAGTGCACATAAAATAAGAATAAATCATAAAAAAATGAAAGGTGGTTCAGCTTATCACAGATACCTCAGATAAACCCCTTATCTGGAAGCCCAGCGCTTGCACAGGCAAGTTCAGATACCGCACAGTTGGTCACAAGTCTTCCCCCAAAGGAGGAAAGGGGACAGAGGGAGTGGCCTCTGCCTCCTCCCAGTCTTGGAACTTGGAAGACCTTAGGCTTCCAAGAAGAGAAGCAAGGAGAGGTCACAGGAAGTCCAGACAGTCTGACCCACCAGTCCCTTCCCTTGGTCTCTCCACCTGCAAGCTGGAAATGGTAACTCCCCCAGGCCTTGTGTGCCTGACAGGACAGTGCAAGAGAACCGGAAAGAGGTTGGGAAGACAGGTGGCTCTCCTGAACTCTCAGTCCGCAGTGCTTAGTCCCCAAACTGCCCTAGACCAGGCACCCTGCTAGCCTGGGAGGACAAGTTGTACTGGACATAAAAAACAGGATGCAATGTCTTTTTAGCCCAGAGGAGGCTTTGCCTTACCCACCCAGGTCCTTTTCCACCCTCCCAGGACATTTTCAAGGCAGTCCTTCACCTTCCTTCAATCAGGGCTTCCCTTTCTCTCTCTAAACCCTGGGGGCCTCAAAACCCAACTCCTGCCCCTCTCCCACAGTGTTTCCTAGTCTTGTGGGCTCCATAGCACCCAAATCTCCCAGGGCTCAGATTTTTTCTGTCTCAGACCTGTGGACCATAGTTACAATGTGAAACCCATCCACCCATGAACTGAGAGACTTGGGCTGGAATCACACTTTAGCTATCTCCTCACTCGAAGCATTGTGCAAGTGATTTCACTTATCCGAGCTCTGCCTTACCCTACATAAAACGGAGCGAAGAAGAGTTTCTCTCTTGTTAAGTGTTGCAAGAGAAATGAATTAAAGAAGGGAGCTAGCACTGTTTTTTAGCCTTATTTTTCTCTACTTTAACATCTCTAATGCCATCCCCAGTCAAGCAGTCCTCAGTAGGCCTTGCTCTCAACATCTGATTAATCCCAGGTATTGTCAATTCTGCTGCCTCCTCCCCTCCGCTCCCACAGCCCCCACCCTGTCCCAGCCCTCACCTCATCACCTCTCCCCTGAATTACTGCAATAGGTTCTGAGTTTCCACTCTCACAACCCCACCCCCTACCCTAACCTGCCCTACCTGCACCTGTTACCCTGGAGCCATCTTCCTAACACACCAGTTTTGTGGGCGCCTCCCTTTTTTCAAACACCTTCACTGGCTCCCAATGACCTGGATTCTCCAGTGATCTCTGGCCACCTTACACTTCCTCAATCCCCTTTTCACAGACTAATAAAGGGTGTAAGCATTCAAATTCCAGTCCTACACTTGGGCCCCTGCTACTGAGAGAAGGACGACCTTGAATCTTCAAGACAAAGGGACTGAAATTTAGCTGGGCCTAATGACCCATGCTTTGAATCCCAGCACTTGGGAGGCAGAGGCAGGTGGATCTCTATAAGTTGAGGCCAGCATGGTCTACAGAGCGAGTTCTAGGACAGCCAGGGCTACATAGTGAGATCTTGTCTCAAAAAACCAAAAATATAAACAAACACATAAACACAAGGCACTGAAACTCGACAACGGAACCTCTTCTCCCAGGCACAAAGAAGGAGCCTCCACTATTTCTCCCTCACCTCCATACCCAGGCCCAACTATGCCACACCACACTTCACAGGTACAAAAGGGTCCTCTAGCTTCATTAGCAATCCAGAACTAACCTCAACCCTGTAGTTACTCCAAAGCTGAGTTCAGAACTTCACCTTCACTGTCTAAAACTCACCCCAGCACAACAGATTTGATGTACAGCCTAGGATAGTTCCCAGCCCTGGCGCTGGTGTTGCCTTGACAATGCTTCTGGCTTCTTAGCAACACCTTGGAGCCTGATTAGCTGTGGAGTTGCAGCAGGTCAGTAGAGCACAAGAGTCGCTGGAAGCCACAGAGTGCAACAGGATGTCAAAGCCAGGCCTAGTGGCTCTGCCTATAACCCCAGGATTTGGGGTTACCGCTTCATGGTAAAAGGATGAGGCCAGCCTTAGCAAGGCAAGACCCGATCTCAGAGACAACACTCCATCCTTCAGGCCCTCGCTATCATGACCAGATCCAAAACCGACTTCTTATGCCTTCCTTCAGTCACAAGCTTGTACCAACACTTGGTTCTCAGGAAACAAATACATCAGATCAGCCATCAGAGAGCCAATGAGGAGCCCTGCCCAAGCCCAGTCCTGGTGGCTCAGTGTGGCTTCTAGAGCGAGAAAAAGCCACAGCCAGGACTTCACAGTTGACAGAGCGGGGAAACGACTGGAATTTCTCAACACCTACCTTCTGTGAGTCCACATGAACACTATTAACCTTTTCCTACTGGTTTGGTGATCATTACAATAACTCAAACATTCAAATGCAAATGACCTTGAATCAAGGGAGGCCCTTTTCTCTAGACCCCAATCTCTTCATCCTTGAAATGGTCAGCCAGAACCATAAGGGTCCCAGGTCACCAATGCAGAGGTTCCCTCCTTTCAGACAGGCCCAGTGGAGGAGCCAACGAAATCCAGGAAACCAAAAGAATCTGAGCAAGGTCACCAGCACCTCTGGCAGTGCCACACTGAGAACAGACCCCCTTCTTCTCCCCATCTAGGCTTCCCATCACCCTCATGGGGAGAGCTGATGGAGGAATGAGATCACCAGACTCCATGCTGTCCTCTAGGAAAGTGGGCCATCCTGAGAACAGAGGTTCCCACTACAGGGGCTCCCCATCCCACTTCCTCTTGGATTCCTCCTTACCCCAGAGCAGCAGGTACCATTCTTAGAACACCTGCCTCTATTGAAGACCCCCTTTTTTGAGGGGGGTGCAATTTTAAATCCATCACCTTGCCCCTCCCCAGTCTCTGCATTTACAAGGTGAGAAAACCAGGTACCCCCTCCAGAACCCCTTGGGACTCTCTGGGATATCCAGAACTGCCGCACTGACAAGGGAAGACCAGGAATGCCATCTCTCAGCTTTGGGATTGGAGGCCTTCCTCATTCCCTAGCCCCCACCCTTGGAGACTGGAATGTGACCCGCGGAGGGATCCCGCAGCACGCTGGGAAGGGCTGCAACTGCGTTCCAGCCCGGTGGCTGCATTGAAAGGGGGGGTAGACGGGGAGGCGACCTCGGGAACTGCGGGGGTCTGGAGTGACGGAAAGAGGATGCGGTAGCGAGGTGGGGGTGGGTTCAGAGAAACAGTAGGACTCCCGATTGCGATCGCGCCAGATGGAGGAGGTCCCAGCCTTCAGCCTTAGTTTCCTGCTTCTCCCTCCCACCTTTGTCTCCCCTCCCTTCTGCAAACTTTCAGGCTGTTTGGGCAAAGGTTTGGAGAACAACTGTGTGTGTGTTGTGTGCGCACATACATGTGTGTCTTAGGATCTGCCTGTGAACCTGTATGTACAGTTGGGTTCCTAAAACGTTGGACAACTGTACCTACATGACTCATGTGTGTGCCTGTGTGTCAACCTGAGCGTGGGTGTAGCTCATGTGGCCATGGATGTAAACCGTGTGCACAGGTATATATATGTACCTGTGCCTCAGGGTCTGTGTCCCGGTGCCAGTGTGTGGGTGTGACTGTATGCGGTTTTGGTCACTGCAACGACATACATGAGAATGGGTGTTGTATGCAAATGTAAAAATATATGCGTGCCCGCCCGCGGTCATGAGTGGGTACGTGTGTGTCCGTGCGCATGTGAGGGGTGGTATCTGAGCGGATTCCCGGCCCCCCACTCTCACGCCCACCAGGCCCTGGGAGGGGACAGTACGGCGGCAGGGACTGCAGGGACCCTCCTCCCCGCCTGCCCCGCCCCCACCCCTACCTGCCGGCCGCTTCGCCGATCGCCCGAAGCGCCAGAAGCTGCGGGTCCGGGGGCCGCTGGGGGCCTTCCTCTTGTGGTGTGAGTTGCCCATGGCGAGTGCGGGAGCTGGCGTAGGCACCGGAGCGAGGCCCAGCCAGCCGGGCCGCCGGGCCCCCCACCCCGGGACAGCAGGCCCCCCAGCGGCCCCCGGACCCGCAGCTTCTGGCGCTTCGGGCGATCG